TATTCACATTCCCCCCGATACCACTTCTTCACAGGGTGTTACAAAAATGCGAGAGGAGAGGGCCAGAGTCATACTAATAGCCCCTACGTGGCCCAGACAAGCATGGTACTAATTTTTAACGAGGATGTCACTTTGCCCGCCGATTCCACTTCCCCACCCCCTTCTGAACCTATTATCACAACGCAAGGGTAAACTAAATCATGCCAACATAACAATGGCTGGATGTCAATCAATGGTTCTCTAATGAGGAACTAAATTGCTCTGAACAGGTACAAAGAGTACTATTACATAGCAGAACACAGTTCACACATACCACCTATCTCCATAAATGAACTAGGTTCACTCACTGGTGCTCCGCCAAGCAAACCACTCCTGCTTCCACCCCTCTTTCACTAACACTAGACTTTCTTTTAGAACTTAAGCTATCTGGGCTCTCCTTTAGCTCCGTAAAGGTACATTTAACAGCAATTACGGCTTTCCACAATAAGACGGGAAATGCTACTATCTTCGCCCCCCCCCATCACAAAGCGGTTCCTCAAGGGCCTCCAGACCCTATCCCTGGACATTAGACCACCCACTCACCCTGGGACCTACACTTCGTCCTCACATGCTTGATGCGCCATCCATTTGAGCCACTTGCAACATGCTCACTCCCACATCTATCCATGAAAACTGCGTTTTTAGTTGCCATTACATCTTCCAGATGTGTAGGAGAACTTGGAGCGCTTATGTTGACCCACAGTACACTATATTTTTTAAAGACAAAGTCACGCTCCGAACACATCCTAAATTTCTTCCGAAGGTGCATTCCTCCTTCCACCTCAATGAACCTATCCATCCACCAACCTTCTTTCCTAAACCGCATGTGAACACTTTCAAATCAGCAATGCACATACTCGATGTGTGCAGAGTATTGTCCTTTTATTTGGATAGGACTAAGCCCTTTAGGGCTTCCCCTAAACTTTTCATTTCAATCGCAGAACGATCCACAGGCAAATCCATCTCTACCCAGAGAATATCCAGTTGGATAGCAGACTGCATCCGCCTATGCTACCAACTAAAGAAGATGAATCCTCCAACTTCTGTTAGAGCACACTCCACCAGATCTGTGTCAACGTCTGTGGCATTCTTACGTAACATTCCCCCCACAGGTATTTCCAACGCTGCCATCTGGGCTTCAGAGCATACCTTTGCTAAACATTATGCTCTTACTCAGGACCCCGACCGACATTCGAATGGGCCGAGCTGTCCTGTCTACAGCTTTCTTACCAAATCCGAAGTCCCTACCTCCTTAAGAGATACTGCTTTTCAGTCACCTGGAGTGGAGCACCACAGGGACATCTCTCTCTCGAAGAGGAGGTTACTCACCTGTGCAGTAACTGACATTCTTCGAGATGAGTGTCCCTGTGGGTGCTCCACTACCCACCCTCCTCCCCTCTACTTCGGAGTTTGGAGCTGTCTCTGGTGTAGAGAAGGAACTGAAGAGCCCAGACCACGTGCGCATATTATTGAGGCACATTTGGCACGTGAGCGAGGCACCACAAGTGTGCGGCCCGTGCAAGTACTGCTGTAAAAATCTCCGAGCGAAGGCACGGGGTGCAGCAACACCTGGAGTGGAGCACCCACAGGGACACTCATCTTGAAGAACGTCAGTTACTGCACAGGTGAGTAACCTTCTCTTACTTGTTATCGTACAGTGTGACACAACTCATAGATCCAGTGACAGGCACAATGTAATAATCATCAATGTACCACGAGCAACACAAAACGAATAGGTGCATTGACAGTGTTATATTCATAGATGTACCCCAACCTCACATAACTCCTAGCAGGCTGCAAAACTGCAGAGACAGGCAGGGCACAGAACACCACAGCACATTACTTGTGGCTTGCTGTAAAAGTGCTCTTTCAAAGCCTTCCTGGGCCGGATAGCTCCACACTGGCCTTTTCTTATAGCCCTTATGTCGGGCTGTTCAAACTCAGCAGAAAGCCACTCCACCTCTGCCATCCAGCCTGGCGGCAGCTTTTCCCCCTTTGCCTCACAGATGTTACGCAGAACACAGCAGGCAGCTGTAATAATTTTTTTTCCACTGAGCGCCTGTCTTGTCAGTAAACTATGCCAGCCTCCCTTCACTCTACCAAAAGCACAGTCAGCTGTCATTCTGCACCTGCTGAGCTGGTAGTTGAATCTTTCCTTGGTGCGGTCGAGATATACGGCTTTGGGAGCAAGGGGTAGGCTGGGTCCTCCAGTTACCATCTCATCATCCCCAGTGGTAATCCTCTAGTCAGGAAAGAAAGTTTCTGCTTGCAGCTTTCTGAACAGTCCTGTGTTTACTTAAAGATGTGAGCGTCACGCACGTAACCTGAGTAGCCAAGGCTGATATCAGTGAAGTGTCCCCAGTGATCCACCAACACTTGCATAACCATAGAAAAGTTGCCCTTTCTGTTGATGCACTCTGTGGCAAGGTGTGATGGGGCCAAAATAGAGATATTTGTGCCATTTATTGCCTCATCACAATTTGGGAACCCCGTCGCTGCAAATCCATCCACTGTGGCCTGCACATTGCTGAGAGTCAAAGTACTGCATAGCAGGGGACGACTGATGGCCCTGTATGACAGTAGCCTCCGCAGTGGATTTTCCCGTTCCAAAATTGTTTCCCACTGACGTTTCCACAGTGCAAGCGCCACTCACTTCTCCGCTGTCCATGCAGCTCTCATTCTGGTGACCTGCACTGGAGGGCTGGGGCAAGCTCAGCAGGCAGATCCAGGAACGTGTCCTTGAGCCGTCTGAAAGTTCTGCAGCTGCTGCTCATTGTCCCACTCGTGCGTTACGATGCGGTCCCATCCATCAATGCTCGTTTCTCGGGCCCAAAAGTGACGCTCCGCTGTCTGCAGATGCTCCGTGAATGCCACCGACAACTGTGCATTGGTTCTCACTGTGTTCCACCGCAGTCTGTCCTCCGTGAAATCATCATGTTTCCCACTGACTTGGATCTTTTTACAGCTCTGCAGTTATCAGAGGATAGTCCGTCCTGTGCTTTCAACGCTTATGACAATAGTGCAGAGCTGTGCAGGCTCCGTGCTTCTGTCAGAGATGGTGGAGAACGAGGCAGCAGTGTGGGTTCATGGGATTTTTTTAAAAGTGCAAAAATTATGGGCTATAGATAACAATATGGGATGGAGACAGTTGAAAACTGGGAAGTTGACCTCTTGCGCCCAGTCACCCCTGGGTGATTCGTTTTGGCTCCACCGTGCATTGCTCAAACTTCCCAAAAGGCAGTGGACCCTGGATGGTGGCAGGTTGCATACCGGGATACCTACCCATAGTGCACCACACTGGGCATCGATACAAGCACTCCTGCTGAGTACACGCAGCGCGGGCGCAAGGAGCCAAGTACACACACCTGCACAAGGAATATACTAACTGCGGTAGCTTTATGCCAATGTAACTTGCGTCGACCAAAGTTTGTGGTGTAGACGTGGCCTTAGCTTCAAACGAGGTAAGTGTGGTCTTCGTGGTTAAAGCAGGAGACTGGGAATCAGAATGCACGAGTTCTAATTCCTGACTTTGACACTGACTTGCTGTGTAATCCTGAGCAAGTCACTTAACGTGATCATTCATTAAGAGCTGCTGGTGTGCACAGTGCTGTGCAGAACATTGGGGAGGAGGGAGTTCCCAAAGGAGCTTCTGGTGTTAGGTCCAATCCTGCAAGGCAGGAGGGGGAGGGGACTCCTACTGTAAGTCCACAGGGGGCTTACAAAACTGGGCCCCTCATTAGTCTGACAGAACATTAGGGGCTTGGAAAGCACCAGATGGGGGTGGAACCTGCAAGGGGTGCAGAAGGCAATATTGATCTGGTTGTAAGGGCCTGGGAGTTCACTTAGGGTAACAATGATAGACTCCATGAGGCAAGTGCACTTGGGGAGGAGAGGGTGGTAGTTTGATCCACCAGAAGGAAGGGAATTCCATGCATAAGGGACTGTATGGAAGAAGGGGCATACACGAGAGTCAGAAAAATAAACCAAAGGGGCTGTAAGGTGGAAGGGGATCACAGACAATGGAGATACTAATATTTACTCACTCCCAGAGGTGTTGTGTTGCTTGATTCAGTAATGTCTGTTAAGGGGTTAGAGTTCCTTGGATGCAATATGCAATATCCTAGTCCCTGGTATGGTCCCCTCAAGTACTTTTGTACCATACTTATGTACCCCCAAGGTGGAACCTATTAAGCTATCAAAGCCCTTCCTCATAAAATGAGCAAGAATACCTTTAAAATACCCTTTGTATTAGTTCATCAGAATGCTTTGCATGTCTCTAGTACCTTCCCTGTAGCACTTCATACACCACCAAATTCAGACTCTCAACTTCCCTGTGAGGTGGGTAGTATCTATGCTTTGCAGATGGGGAAATTGTGGCACAGAGCGGGGAAGAGCTGGGAGTAGAATCCAGGTCTCCTGACTCCTAGCTGTGCTGTTACTACAAGACGGTTCTTCCTTTGGAAATATTTCCCCTCCACAGGCCCTTTCCTGTCACGGCTCTGACTTCACTGGACCTCCGGAAAGGCGGGAAGTGCTGTATCAGATCATGCATGTGGTCATTTATAGCATAAAACGGTGCTACAGTTTTCTGTCTCCCTCGGCCAGGCTGCTCAGGCAATGCCCATCCAGAGCAGACGTCCAACCACACCCAGAATCAGAATGTGCACTCCCACCTTTCCATCTCTCCACGGGAGGTGTGAGCAGCTCCTGACTCTCTGCACATTTCCGAATGAGACTGCCTGCTGTGAGCATGAGGGAGTAAGCCATGGTCAGACATTCCCATTGCCCACATCCAATTGCCCTCTGCTACTCTTGAAGTGTTCTCCTGCTGTAAGAGAGTGCATTCGGCAGACTTTTGAGCCACTCTTTTCCTTTTGGGATGCCGGAGCATAGGTGTGAAATTTTCTCCTCTGCTGGAGCTGGCTTAATTCCTCTGTTCACTGATTCCCCTGGCAGGTAACCTGGAGCAAGCCAATGAGGAGCTGCGAGCAATCATTAAGAAAATCTGGAAGCGCACCAGCATGAAGCTGCTGGATCAGGTTGTGCCCCCGGCAGGTGGTGAGCAAACTAGCCTTTCCTTGTCTGTCTGTCTTGTCACCCCTTTCTCTACCTGCTGTTTGTCTTTCCATAATCCTGTCACTTTTGTGGTTCTGGGTAGGATATGGGAGGCATGCTTTCCTCTACAGGATGGTATCTGTCAGACTGAACATTATAGCAGATTGAGTGCAGATCATGCCTGTACCAATGTAACCCTCTAAATGGGCAACTTTTGGGAGGAGGTGGAGATGTCAGGGTGGGAGAGAAAACAATATTCTCAGATGCATACACCAGATCTAAATGGAGTGATGTTTACAGTTCTCTACACACTCCCAGTGAGCCAAGGACAACAGGATTTTGCCTTACATTGCCCATGGCCTTTCTCTGGAGGGCTACATGCTTATCAGTATTGCATAACACTAATGTGATCCCTGGTACAGGGTGTTCTATTTGTTTGCCTTGTCAGTAACTATTTGATGCCAGGGAGAGAAGCAACATTTAGTAGCCGTAGGCAGGGCATATAAGAGCAGAGTAACATCACTTTTATCAGTGTGTCAAAAATAAACCTTCAACCTTGAGCTAAGGCTATGGCCTCTTCTCCTGGGTTCCTAGGCCTGTGCTTTGTACTCCTGTCAGATCCATATGGACACAGGGGGCCAGATTCTCAGCTGGTGTAAATTGGAATAGATCCACATCTGGCCCAGTATGTTATTGAGGTAGATTTGGGGAGTATGCACCAGGATTTTATCTGAGGCATGCTTTCTGTCCCCTTCCCCCTCCCTTCCTTTCCTGCTACCTACTTTCTGTCTCACTCTCCCCTCTCACCCTCTGTCCCATTTTTCTCTTTCCCACAGCCCCTTTATCCCTCCCTCTTTACCCTCCCACAGCCCCTCCTCTTAGCCCATCCTCCCCCAACTCCTGACCCCCTCACAGCATCAGAACAATGACCCCCTTCTTTTCTGGTCCATCCATCTCCTGACAGCTCATCCTAGGCAGGAGCATGATTGACACTGGTGGTTTCCAGATACGGGGTGTCTGGTCTCCCCTCTTGTACCTTAATAATGAGCCTTCATGCTGGGCTAGGGAGGCGCAGCAGCGCTGCATTATTCCTGACCCCCCATTCAGGCTGTCACTCAGAATCGCACCTTGGGGATCGTCTATAGTTAAGGTCAGATCCTGAAGTCTTTGCTCAGTCCATGTCCTCACAGAAGTCAATGTCCCACAAAACTTCCATTGACTCCAGGTGAGTTTTGCCTAAATAAAAACTGAGTTAGATTTGACCCATTGACATCAATGAGAGTTTTGGCTGAGTAAAGGGAGAGCAAGGACTGCAGGATTTGTCCCTTGGTTTGAAGCAATCCAAGTTCCCTTTTGGGTTATAGCAGGTACTAACTCACAGTAGGACGTTGAGGTCTTATCTGGGAAATTAGTACAAGCGACTGAAATGGTCAGGAGCCATGTCTGTATAGCAAATGTACCCATCAGGTGGCCCTGCAGTTAGAGGCATTCTATACCAATATAGCTAACCTATGCCCATAGATGTAAGCCATCTCTGAGCCCCACAGAGCCTCTGCAAACAGCTAGAGCTCTGGAGTAAATGTGCCCTCTAACCTGCTGTACTTGTACCCTCAAAACAAATGTCTTTGCCTTTCTTTGGTTCCTGGTATTTCTTCTGTAAATGGCAAAGCTTTGCAGCTTGTACTGGTGAATTCACTCTGTAAAATCAGCTGCTTGCTTGCTTTTGGAAATATCCCCCATACAGATGATGAGGTGACAGTTGGGAAGTTTTATGCCACTTTCCTGATCCAAGAGTATTTCCGGAAATTCAAGAAACGTAAAGAACAAGGCCTCGTGGGCAAACCCTCACAGCGGAATGCTCTCTCCTTGCAGGTGAGTCATGGGCAGATATGGGCCTGAGTGACACAGGAATGAAACAAGGACATAGAGCTGGAGGTTTAATATGTTTTTACACCTCCTTAACCTTGTTACAGCCAAGGACACTTGGCCATGCCTCCTTCCCAGCAAGTGCCATGCACTTTGGGGACTGTATTGAGCAATGGACAGACCCCACACCCCATTAGAGGGAACATTGGAGGCACCTTGAGCTGCCACGTCAACCCCTCCAGATAGACGTACATCTGTCAAAGGCCATGCACCCTTCCTTATGCTGGCAGGATGCTGGGGTGAATTATGTTTATAGTTGATTAATCCATTGGTAATGTTTGGGAAGTGCTTTGGGTTCCATTTGGATAGCTGGTACTAAATAAATGTAAGATTGTTACTGTTGTCATGTTTCATCCTAAACCCCTCTGAGGAGGGAGTCATTATGGATAAGTAAGGGATGGTATCTGGCAGTTAAAAAAAAACAAGGCAGATGCCTGGATTCAAGAGGCATCATAGTCCAGTGGATAGGGCATGGGACTATGAGTCCTGGGATCTAGTCTCAGTTCTGCCACTCATTCACTATGTGGACTGCTAGATTGCATGTCAGAAGCTTCCGCTGCATTTCTGAAAAAAGAATTTTGCGTTGATTACAGCTGCAGAACTCAGGGCAAGCCCCAGCTCTATAGACTACTGAAACTGTTACAGTAAGAAAGAGAGATAATACTGGACTCCAAGCAAATAATCTGCCATGTGAGAAATAGGCTGATACGTACACAGCATCAGCATAGGACAGCTTAACTGTTTCCTAGAACAACACTAATTGAGACACGTTCCAATTAATAAGGTTTGGTAAATGCTGCGTATAGTTTCTGGCTAAAATTTCCAAATCTGGGTGCCAAAAATTCAGCTCTCCATTCCATATTTAAGTACCTGAATAAAATTGGCCTGATTTTCAGAGATGCTGAACTCCCATTGACTTCAGCTGAAGTGTAGGTATTCAGCTCTTTTATTTGTGTGCCTGAATATGGATTTAGGAGCCAAACTCTAAAGCACCCATGCTTGCTCATTTGGGCTTGTATGTTTATGCACATGTGCTGTACTTGTTAAAAGAAGCACCTGGTAATGAAGAGTCCTGGGTTCTATTTCCAATTCTGCCAGAAATTTGCTATGCAGCCTTTAGCAACTTACCCTCTTTGTGAGTTGGTCTCGCCACCTCTAAAATGGGAATGGGGTAACAGTACCTGCTGACCTTACAGGGAGGTGGTGAGGTTAAATTAATCAATGTTCATAAAGTGCTTGGCAACAGATGATGTGCAGTGTAAAGTGATACTGTTTTTATTGCTCACCTAACTACATGAAGACAGTGTTACATGGTACTGTTTTCCAGGCCGGGTTGCGCACATTGCACGACATTGGGCCAGAGATCCGACGGGCAATCTCCGGAGACCTGACAGCCGAAGAGGAGCTAGACAAGGCCATGAAAGAAGCTGTTTCTGCTGCCTCTGAAGATGATATCTTCAGGGTAGGTGCTGCTGCTGTAATCCTTCTTTGCCTCTTGAATGAGGCTACATTCTGAGCCCAATACATTAGATTGGGGAGTGCTATATGATACATTTCAGTTTCTCTCTCTCAGTTTCCCAGGCTGTTTTAGAGAACAGAAATGGAAAATATAAAGCTATAAGTCAAATAGAATCAGATGGCCAAATCCTGAGGGCCTCATGTAGTTTTCACTCCATTTTTCCTCAGTGGGAGTTTTGCCTGAGTAAAGACTAAATACGGTCCGAGTGAGAATGTCAGGGTTTGACCCACAGAAATTGAAAAAACAAATCAGGTCATCACGTCCATGTTCCATCCTACGCATTACTGATCCACTACATTCTCTAGTGCTTCGTTTACTCCACTTTTAAGCAACCCAAGCAATGGGTCTTCCAGCACTTCCCTGGGAGACAGTCCCACCCCTCATACATCTCACCATGGAGAATTTTTTTCTGAACAATCAGCCTAAATTTTCTTTTCTTTAGTTACGCCCTTTGGGCAACCCTCAACATTCCCTCTCCCTCGTTGGTGCCTCTACCCTTCAAATACTTACAGAAAGTTACTCTATCTCCCCTTCATTATGGCTTAGTCAAGCTCTATGTAACAGGCTCTTTAAACCTTTCCTCACTAGTCCCTCCTGCTGGTTAATTATTTTTGTTGCTGTTCTCTGAATTCCTTCTAGTGAGTGGATCTCTTTCTGCTACTGTGGTATGCAGAATTGAACACAATAGCCCAGATTCTCCATCCCACCCAAACTCCACTCAACACAGGAATGGAGGGGAGGTGCAAAGATGGCTCTTCACTACTTGTAGGCGTCTCTGTATTCTGGAGCTGGCTCTTGTCATCTATCAGAGCACGACATTAGAGCTCATCTATAACGAACCCCTCCCGGTCCCATCACAGCCCCTCTGACAGAGATGCCCATATTCTAGGGTTATTTCCTGGTAGGGAGACATTCTGCTTGTACAGGGCCATATCACAATGCCAAATTGGTCCCCAAATTTTCTTTCTCCAAACATTGCTTTAAGGTTTAGTGTCCTCATTTGCACATAGTCTCACTCACCAAGAGAAAATGTTTTCTGTTTTGCTGACAGAGGGCTGGTGGCCTGTTCGGAAACCATGTCAGCTACTACCAAAGTGATGGCAGGAGCTCATTCCCCCAGACATTCACCACCCAGCGCCCTTTGCACATCAATAAATCTGGCAACAACCAGGGAGATACGGAGTCCCCGTCACACGAGAAGCTAGTGGATTCCACCTTCACTCCCAGCAGCTACTCGTCTTCGGGTTCCAATGCCAACATCAATAATGCCAACAATACTGCCTTGTCCCGCTTCCCCAGCCCACCCAGCTACCCAAGTACTGTCAGCACGGTGGAGGGGCATGGCACACCCTTGTCACCCACCATACGAGTGCAAGAGGCCCCTTGGAAACTCACTTCCAAAAGGTAAGCTCCAAAGAAGCAATGGGCTAATGAAACCAACGTATATGTACAATTTTTAAAAAATGATATTGCCTAGTTAAAGTCATGCTACAACAGGCTAGAGGCAGGACAAGGTGCTGTCGTGCATGGGATTTGAGGTGAGCTCTCCGGTTCATCACTTGCTGCCTAGACTAGCAATGCTGCAGAAGCACCACATTCAGCCTCTGGGAAGAAGGACTGCTTAGCACCACCACTGATCAACACCCTCCATCTCCCAGGCTATAAAATTGGTATCTGAAGGGAGCTGCATCCTAGGTTGTAGGGAGGTGTTTTACCTAAGGCAAATTAAATAGAGAAGGAATGGGGAAATGCAATTCATACTTGAAAACATTAGAGGAAAGACTCTAGACCAGTATTTCTCAATCAGCAGGTGACAACTCCCAGGGAGCTAATAAAATGCAATCAGGAGGGATGCGAGGCATTCAGAAATGTACTATAATCTAAAGCAAAGGAAATTTTCCCAATCTCTCCATACAGCCTTACCTTTCAAAGTCAGGTATTCACTGTTAACCTGTCAAAACACACATGAATGAATTATATCATAGGTTTATCACTGTTATCTTTCATACACGTTTTACTTGGTTATAATAAATGTAAAAGGGTCATGAATATTTCTGACTTCAAATAAAGGATAGCCAGCCTGAAAAGGTTGAGACCAAATGTTCTAGAGAAGAAGAGAAGAGACTAACAAGACGAGGATGCCAGAGGTGTATGAGTTTCCTTGAATAAAGAATCCCGTAGCTTTTCCATTTCCCAGCCTTCCTTTTGGAAGCTATAGGCATTTCACATACTTCCATACTCCTCCTCCTCCTTACTTGTGTTTATGTTCCTGACATAGTCTTCTTTTTCCCCCTTGCTTCCTTGGTGAACTAGGACACATTACTATGAAACATTGGGACGGTAGGTGTTTCCTCTCATGCTATAATGGTCTCCAGAGTTGCTCCTGTTGAAGTTAATGTCCAAATCCCCATTATTGTTTCACTTAAGCCCTTCCTTTCAGTGTCAGGAGGGTTAAAAGAAGTACAGTAGAGCCTCAGAGTTACAAACACCTCGAGAACGGAGGTTGTTTGTAATTCTCAAAAGTTCATAACTGAACAAAATGTTATGGTTGTTCTTTCAAAAGTTTACAACTGAACACGGACTTAATACAGCTTTGAACCTTTACTATGCAAAAGAAGAATGCTGCTTTCCCTTTATTTTTGTAGTAATTTACGTTTAACACACTACTGTACTGTGTTTGCTTTTTGTGTGTGTGTGTGTCTCTGCTGCTGCTTGATTATGTACTTTGGGTTCTAAATGAGGTGTGTGGTTGACTGGTCAGTTTGTAACTCTGATGTTCGTAATTCTGAGGTTCTATGGTAATAGTAGTATGGTATCTTCAGGAGACATTCACCAGTTAGGTTCCTCTAGCCATAATGCAGACATCTGTGTGGACTCTGGTAGCTGGATTACCTGGTGGACTCATGTGGAATTTTCACCTCAATCTCCACATGATTTCAGACCTGACCCTTGTCATTCTCTGATCATTGCAGAATGAAGTCTGGTTTAGCCTGTTCTTACCAAAATAGTGTAGAGTTTGACTAGAGCTTTGCCATGTGGGCTGATGAGGGAATGACACTGTTATTCAGGACCTTTTCTTCACCCATACAGTGATGATTGCCAATCATCCCCTGTCTGATCACTCAAGCATTCTTCTTGGATTTTTTTTCAACTGACGCAAAGCAGCATAAGTATACTCATTTCCCTCCACTCCACCAAGTGGTGTAAACCAGTGACCAAACAACCATGTGTCCCCACTTCTCCTCCTATTCCCACATGGTGCTTCTCTGCCACATTGCTCCCTGCTGACAGCACAGGTAACAGAGTGAAAGTGACTGGACTTCAGATTTCTGAAGCTCTCCATGCTGGCATTTCAGAGATCCAGGTTCTGTTCGGCTGCTTGCACAATCAAACTGTAGCCTAATACCAGGAAGCCCAGCACAGGAAATGGAGGGAGGAGGAGGTAGAGATGGAATTCAAGGTGCTCCACCTACCACAGAATTTGAAAAGCACCCATTGAACTCAATTGAAATTACTCATATTCTGTGATTAGAAAATAAGGAACAAGGATGAGAAAGACAAGGGGAGAGAGACGATGAAAGAGAGCAGAGGGAGAGAAATGGCTCAGAGAGTGGAACACAGGAAAAAGAGACCATAAGCATCACAGCCCAGAGGGGTGGTATAATGTCAAGGAGGCAGCCTTTGAAATTCCTTACCGGTCCTTTGTGACAGCCATAGAAGAAAATCCACCCCGCTGTCCCTCAGGGAATCCATCTCAGGTTTTATACTGAGCCCCATGGGACAGGACTTTAGGAATTTAGTCAGTGCCCTGTGAATGCTCATGCAGTGCAGGCATGATCAATTACATTCATAGTATGTACATCACTACTGACTCTTCATGCTTTGATTAAGGAGCTCCAAGTAAGTGGGGACAAAACAAAAGGTCACTTGTATTTATGAACTGTGCTTCTGTCTTTGATCATCGATTTTTGTGTGATGGCTCGGCACTGGGCCATAACAATAAACGCAGACAGATGGAGCCCTGTCACTTTTGTCTCCGTAGCAGCTTTTCTTTACCATATCCAAATTTTGACTTGCCTTTTTTGCTCATTAGCTCCAGTTCCAGAGACAGCCAGCTGGCAATCGTTTGCCAAGAAGAAGTGTCTCAGGATGAGACTTATGATGAGAATTTGAATGAAGACATAGAGTACTGTAGCGAACCAAGCCTGATCTCTACTGAAATGTGAGCTTTGCAATACAGTGGCCAAGCTGTTTGGGGTTTTCTGGTTGGGGTGCTGTGTGATATCTTTCTTTAAAGACCCTTCATAAGTTCAGCCGAGGGAATGGAACTAGGGGAAGGCTAGTAAGAAGAAACAGGTTTGCAGATGGAACACTGCGCCAATCCAGATAGCAAAGGATGAAAAAGTGTGCTTAAGCCCAGGCAAATAATATTGGGAAAGGAATTTTTTCTATGATTTCTTGAAGTCCCTTTCCTCCCAGTGGTACTACTGGCAGTGCTACCTCCAGGCCCCTTCACCATCCATTTCTAATGTCTAAAGTTCCCAGATTTTATCACCTGAGCTTTCTCTGTCCTAGTCTTGGATGCTGTCTCTGGAGCATTTAGATCTAGCAAACTAACAAGTTAGCTACATCCCTTCTTCGTGAATAGAGTGTCCTTCCTCTTCCCCTTTTCCTCATCTCCTGCCAAATAGTGCGGCCTTTCCCTAGTAGAAGGGATATCTCATCCAGCATGATACCCTGCTCAAGTGATGGCTCCAACCTCTCTGTTTTTCATTCCAGGCTGTCATACCAAGATGATGAAAACAGACAACTGACTCCACCTGAAAACAACAAAGGGGAGGGCTCCAAGCTGTCTCCAAAGAGTGGATTTCTTCGCTCTTCGTCACTGGGTAATATTCCAGCAGGATGTACAAGCTGTGCTTTCTGATGCCTGGACTGATTTCTCACATCTTGCTGGAGAATCCTGTCATGTGTGACCTCAGGTTTTGATGTGCACTTTGGTTCCCAGGAAGAACATGAGACACAGAGTGAAGGATAAGATCTTGACAATGCACATGTTTTACCAGCAGGCATCTCCATTGCTTATATACAGCTCAGTCAGTGTATAAGTCTATGGTTCTCTGGACGGCATGCATCTATGTGAACTGGTTGATTAAGTCTGCATGTGAACTAGGGGAACTTATCAGAGCTCTTTGGGCCCAAAAGAACCTCCTCATAGAGCCAGCAGATGGAGTGAATTAGTATGTGGTGGTATTTTCTTTAAATATTGAACAGGGAGAAAGAAAATGTTCTTCTTTCCTCTCTTGCAAAAGAAAAAAATGATGAATTTCAGTACAAGCAAATACACTGAGAATCTGGTGTCTGCTTTAATTGAAACTTTTCAAGTGTTAGGATTTGCAGACTAAAGTCAAGAGCGCTCCTCTGACCATGCAGTTTCACAGAGGTACCAGCCCCTTCACATCAGTGAATCTTTACATTGTTGTAACATGGTTCCTCATCTAACATCGTTACAACTCATTTTGCCACATCATTCAGAAATCTTCTTCTAGCATACCTAGGAGGATCATCAGTAGCACAGTTTCTACTAGCACTATTGTTAAAAAAAATAATCCCTGTCCAGAATACGTGCTAGTTTTCAGCTGTCTCGGAACACAGCTGTTGGTCAGACTTTATGGTGCTTGACAAACTTTTTCAAATACAGTTGCTCTAGCAAGGTATCAAGGTAAAGTGGACAGGGCCTATAATGGGGATTTTTCCTCTACACCTCCAGAGGTATTACACTGATCTCAAGCTCAGGTCAGAGAGTCTCTGTAATGTGGTGTAAATGATGATCACAGTTCTGTGCCATTGGCATTGCAGGTCGAAGAGCATCTTTTCACTTAGAGTGTCTGAAGAGACAGAAAAACCAAGGTGTAGATGTCACACAGAAGACAGTTCTGCCGTTGCATCTGGTACACCACCAGGTAAGATTTAATTACTAAGCTGCAGCCCACCAACCCAGCTGGACATTTAACATTTGCAGTGCTTACCAATGGCACCACTAGCCAACCTTTCTGAGACCATTTAGGACTGTTTTCTGCAAATATCAAAGATGCTGTTGTTAGAAATTGTTTTTTGCTCCTGTCAGCTTCTAGTTTCAGGATTTTCATAACTCCCAGAACAAAGCTGCAGGAATATGCTCTTCAAAGTTGGCAATATCAATCAATACCTGACTTACACGAAGGGGAAAAAACAAAAACCTAGCTAACATTTCATGGTACAAATAGTTAGCCAAATCCATCCCTACTGTAACTCCATTGACTTTGATGGAACTGTTAACATGAGTAGATGGAGAGGGACCACCTCCACTTTAGTACAAAAATAATCAGTTACGCTGATTATTTTTGAAAAGTAAACTGATTACATGAAACTAGTCAGTTTCTTAAAAACCATGACAGAGACATACATCAACTTAGTGCTTTCTACTTGGACATATCTGGATGATTAATCAGCTGTCAAGTCAGAAGTGAACACCTGTCCTTTGTTTGATGCTAAACTGTCTTTCCTTGGCTGACACTATAATACAGGGGCAACCTGCGGCACATATGCCAAAGGCGGCATGCAAGCCGATTTTTATTAGCACGCTGCTGCCAACTGGGGTCCCGGCCACCGGCCCCACTCAGCCCACTGCCTGCCTGGGTGAACGGAACCCCAGGCCGGCAGTGGGCTGAGTGGGGCCGGTGGCCGGCTGGCAGGAACCGGCGGAACCCCAGACTGGCAGCAGGTGAGCCACTGCTGGTCTGTGGTTCTGTCCGCCACCCCATTCAGCCTGCTGACGGTCTGGGGTTCCGGCTGCCGGCCCCTTGCCAGCTGGGGTCCCAGCCATCGGCCCCGCTGAGCCTGCTGCCAGCCTGGGATACCAGTCGACAGCCCCTCTCACCTCGCTATTGGTCTGGGGTTCCAACCGCCCGGCCCCCTGCTAGCCAGGGTCCTGGCTGTCGGCCCGCTCAGCCCGCTGCCAGTCTGGGGTTCCGTCGGGGGGCCCCTGTAAATGTAAAATTTATTACTGGCACACGAAACCTTAAACTAATGAAGACTTGGCACGCCACTTCTCAAAGGTTGCCGCCCCCTGCTATAATATTATAAACTGTTGCAGAAACAGTTTTCATATGGCACTACCAGCCTTGGAACACTTGATGTTCCCTTAGTTAACTGCACATTTCTGGGGTGCTCTTATTATCTGTAGATTGGTATTAGTATACATGATTCTTAAAAAGCACATAAGAGGGTAAGGTCCCTGCTTCAAGGAGCTTTCAGTCTGATTCACTCAATACAGTACACAGATCAACAGTTCAATGCAAGAAGGCCTTGTGGAAGACTGTATTGGGGAAGCATGTCCTTCATGTCTTTCACTGTCAGGAACTCATGGTGCTGCGACAGAAAAACCATCCAGTGTTCCACCCCATCAACATTCCCTCTAGTGTAAAAAATGTTAATACTACAAGAAAGCTCCACTACACTATCAGAATATGGTCTTCTGGGTTTGGTAATATTGATTGCTGCTCCCTTTCAGTGGGTGAAATTAAGATTTGCACTGTCCATTGTAAACAATCTGTTAATTTCCCTTTAGATATTAAACACTGTAGGATGTCTTCTCATTGTGAATACTTGAAGAGTTATTCATAGGAAAGGCTCACATATATGTGTATATCCTTCACATATCAATATCTAACTTGCTATGGCCCTTCAGACACTCCTGGAACATTGTCAGTATTGTACTGGTTGGAAACACAGTTTGCTGCATATATCAGTGTATGATCCCTGATTATATTTCTACAACAGGCTGAAGAATCAGTTCAGTTGTGCTTCTAACCAATGTAGGGCCCATCCTGCAGCCTGTTCAATGTAATGGTGCTGCTTATGAGACAGAGACTGCAGGTTCAGGCCTTTAGGGGGAGATATTCAAAAGGCCCAAAGGCCAGTTAGGTGCCCATTTTATACTGAGAATTAATAGGAGCTGGGCAATAGGAGCTGCCTTTTGTGCCTTTAAAAATCTCCCCCTTTATGAAAAATGTTTGGGTAACTGACCCATGGCACTAATAGAAGAGTCTTCTGTTATCCCATTTCTTTGTCTGAAATCATCAGCATAGCATATTTAGAAACCATTCCTGTTTGTGTTAAAGTCAGTTGCCATTGATTTCAATGGGAGGAGGGCTGGAAAGTTAATGAGGGAACTTTCTGCTTACAGATAATACAAAATCCTTTATCTTCTATCAGCTGGCTTCTGATTCCCTTACTCACACTGAGTAGTACCTTACTCTATGAGTTGTCCTATTGACTTGTGGAATAAGGTACCATTCAAGGTGAGTAAAAGTATCAGACTCTGGCCCTATGGAAAGAGGGATTTCATTGAATCACTTATTTAGTTAAAAGGTACTACATGACTCATCAATTATGTATTTAATTCTTTTGAGGGACTGGGTGGCTCAGGGGACTAGTAATGGACATTGATCTTTTCACAAATAGATCACTACATAAAATCCAGTGCAGGTTGGTACTAACTGAACGTTATTACCAACTAAGGCTGGGTCTTTACTAGAACTTATGTCAGCAAAACTTTTGCTGCTCAGAGGTGTGAAAAAACACATCCCACACCACCCCGAGCAACATAATTGTTGCCGGCATAAGCACTTACGTGCACAGTGCTATGCTGATGAGAGACGCTCTCTCGCCAACATAGCTACCGCTGCTCGTTGAGCTGGTTTTATTATGGGAGAGCTCTCTCCCATCGGCATAACGCGGCCACACGAGTGCTCTTACAGCAACATGGCTGTATCGGTACCGCTGTGCCACTGTAAGCTTGTAAGTCCAGACATGGCCTTAGTGTCACTGGAGACCTAAATAAAATGAGTTGATAGTCTCAGTCCAGTTTCTAGAATAGATATCACCAAAACATATCACCACAATTAGCAGTACATGCTGTTGTTAGTGGGATCAGAAGAAGGGTCAAAGATTTGAAGGATGTGGAAAATGAACTACCCTGTCACCCTACGTCAGAAGTGGTGGTCCCTCCGGTACAAGAATGAAGGCATTCTGGCAGGGTTATGTGGGGGAAGTTTGCACTGCTGCTAGCTATATTGTACCTGTTCCATGGACAGAGGATGTCAGTCTTTAGAGCTTTTGATCTGGCACATTTCACCAGAACAAAATAAGCCATTTTTAACGGAATCTTGGTAATAATTACAAAATGGGTCAGCAGAAAACAGAACAGTGTTTTATTACCCACAGCTGTGTTTCATAGAGGTCAATCCATCTAAGTTCCCAATTAGCATAAACCCATTCAAGCCATCCTTGTACTCGTCCCTCACTGCCTAGTCATTCGAGTCGTGCTTCTAAGAGCTGGCTAGTACTGCATTCTTTCTCTCTCTGTCTGAAGGCACTAGCAGTGGCAGGGCTGAGTCCCCTGCTCCAGAGAAGCCATTCCCCAACAACGTTCTCCCCCCGGTTGTGTGCCACGCCCCCTGCCGTGCCCTGTAGCCGTGGCTGGCCACAGAAGACCATCCCGACTTTACGGCTTGATGGAGTGGAGTCCGGTGAGAAACTCAACAGTAGCTTCCCATCAATACACTGCAGCTCCTGGTACTCTGACAGCACCAGCTGCAGAAGCCCTCGGAGAGCCAGGCCAGTCTCCCTCACCGTCCCCAGCCAGACTGGGGGGAGCAGCAGGCAGTTCCACGGCAGCGCTGGCAGCCTTGTCGAAGCGGTAAGTCGACAAAGTCACAGAGGCCTGGGAATGACTGCAGCAGCAACTAGAAATGAGTCATCTTTAGGGCTGCTGTAAGAGGATAGGTATTAGTAGTGCAGACAGCAGTGCTGGGCTTTGGTAGCCATTTCCAGTCAGTGCTTGGTGGCGTGAGTAGGAGGAGAGAGAGGTTTGGTTGGGAAAAGGGAATGGCCAGACAGGAGCTGGGATGGTGGATGGAAGGGTGATGGGACTGATGATGCTAGTGCTAATTTTTATCTTTGTGTTCTGTCTCTGGTTTCCCGCTTGCTTTTGAAGGTCTTGATTTCAGAAGGACTGATGCAGTTTGCTCAAGATCCAAAGTTCATTGAGGTCACAACCCAAGAGCTAGCAGATGCCTGTGACATGACAATAGAAGAGATGGAAAATGCAGCAGACAACATACTCAACGGTAACAGCAAGCAGAGCCCCAATGGCAACCTCTTGCCTTTTGTTAACTGCAGGGACCCAGGGCAGGACAGTGCAGGAGAGGAAGAGGAAGAGGTGCAGAACCCGGATTGTAGAAAAAGTCAGGAGGAGCTCCAGGACAGCAGGATTTATGTCAGCAGCCTGTAGTTGCCAGGGCTGAAGCGATGCTGGTTTTTTATTTGTTTCAATGTTCCTAATGGGTTTGTTTCAGAAGTGCCTCACTGTTCTCGTGACCTGGAGTAACCGGAACAGCGTTCTTCATTCATTTCTGTTGGGACGAGCCGCAGAGTTGGGTGGTGTAAGAGAGCTTTTCAGGAGCGAATACAACCCCAGCATGTGTCCATGAGGAGGAGGAAGAGGTGGCGGAGGAGAGCCAGCCCCTGCTTGTTCTCAGTTGCTGCACAAGGAACGACGGCTGCTTCCTGAATGCAAAGGAGAACCTCAGCTTCCTGTGGATGGCCCTCGCCAAAAGGACCCTGCATCAAACGGGTGTCTTTCAACTTTGCTTGTAAAATCATTTTGCACATATTCTGTATGAGCCTCACCGTCTCCATAAAACCAAGGCCCTTTTGATTTGGAATAGAATGATTGACTTCTTCTCCTGTGGATTCCAGTAGAAGAAGCAGAAGAAGCCTTAGGGGACATGAGAGGCAAATGGCAACACTGCAGGAAGGCTTGTTGACAGAAAATGCAGAGACTCCCAGGCAGTGGTCTCTGCCAACCAATCAGAGCTCAGGTAGCCATGTCTGCCAACCAGTCAGAGCTCAGACAGCCAGCTGTGCCAACCAGTCAGAGAGCAGGTAGCAAGCTCTGTCAAGCAGAGCTGAGGCAACCTGCCCTTTTCTAAGTGAGGTGGTGATGGGCTTATGTAGATCTCTCCTTATTTTTGCAGTTTGATATTTTCTTGAAAGCATGTTCCAATTTTTATTTTGAATATTTTTGTTTTGTTTTGGAGGGAGAGGGGAGAAAGGAGCGTTTACAAAGTTTTGTAACCACCCTTTTTGTTTTGTTTTGTTTTGTCTTCACCTTAGCAAATGTTAAATTGGTTTGGTTACATTGTATTATTTAAACTATTTTTTCTCCATTGAAATTCGGTAGAAGCTATAATGATAGAAGAGTTTTATCAACCATTATGTACACCAAGAATTTGTAATTTAATTTGATAGTAATTGAAATCTCCTTTTTTTTGTTGTTGTTTTATAATTTAAAGATAGTAGGCAATGCACTTGATATAGTCTTGCACATTTGAGTGATTGATTTGGATTCTTTTTAGTGCTAGGTATTTTTGTGAGTATGTGAGCGGCCCTGAGTGAGCGTGTGTGTGTATGAGTGCATACAGTTCTCCACTTCCTGGTTTTACCTTCAGGAGATCTGTATCTGGGGCCATTTGAATGCAAAAACAAACCACTGTCTCTGCTTTTGAAAGGGGAATCAGTAACTCTTTGCATTTTCTGTTCCACAAGATATGCAAAAACAATGCAATAATATTAATTTTAAAATACAATTGTGAGTTGTGTTGGCATTAAAACTGTATAGAAACAAAATTAAGGGGAAAAACAAACAAAAGTGAGAAGGAGTTATGCTTCGATATATTCCGTGTGATGTTTTATTGCATTGATAATGTTTCTGTTGAAGAAACCGTAATACTTGAATTCAGGTCAGTTTCAGTATTTTTCAAATATTTTTTTAAAATGAATTGCAATTGTGCCAAGCGAATATAATGAATTGAATTAAGTTTGTTTTAAAAGATCACTTCTTGTATATTTTGCTGCATGTAAAGTAAATCATTTCGTATTTGGAGTGTGCCAAGCTTTACCTTTGAACTTTTAAGTGCTTTTCTACGTGTGGTTGGGGAAATGGGTACTAAATATTTTTTTTCATTTTTTAATTTGTACAATGAACAAAGTGTACCTAGTGTAAGTAACTAGTCTGCAATCCACTGACAGGTTGAACGTTACTGATTTTGCATATCTTGTGTTCACTTTCCTTTTTCCTCACTCCCTTAAACATGCACAATTAATTTCTGAATAGAGTATCTTGCTTCCTGAAACCAGGACATTTTATCCAGTCTTCATCCTCTTTCCTGTGCTCAGATTCTCTCAATATTTCTTCTCACTAGGGTGGCAAAATCCATATGCCAAGCAGATGGGATAAGATTTCTAGGAACTCAGCTGGCATCAGCAACTCTGGGGGGATGGAATTGTAATAGGTAATTTCATATTTCTTTCACTGAATCTCTAACTCTCATCAGTAATAGAGTTTCCTGGGGTACATGACAGGCAAATGCGAGAGGCAGAGTTATTAGCTAGGGAAAATAATCTAGCTCTGCCCTTAACTGATATTCCAGGGTAAGTGAGGTGAAGAGTTCTGAGTTGTTACTCAAGAGAATTGCTCTGGTACTGCTCTCAGCTGGAGACACTGAAGGTTAGTGACATGAGCCCATATTTTGCACTCCAGTGTGCAATCTCATCATTCTCTTCATACCTGAGTTTATGGGCCAGGTTCTGGGCCTCAGTCATACTGCTTTAAATCTGGCATAACTCCACTGAAGTCAATGGCACTATGTCTCGCGCCCAGTCTTGTTATTCACTCTGAACTTCCTTTTCTCCCTCCTCTGCCTGGCACTTGTCTCCCGCCCAGTCTTGTTATTCACTCTGAACTTCCTTTTCTCCCTCCTCTGCCTGGCACTTGTCTCTTACTAGTGACAAACCAGAAGAGAATTGTAGATCTTATGCAATTTGCTGGGTTTTCCTTGGAAATGAAGTCTTCATTTGGAATCTTGGCTGTCTTTATCTAAAACTCACAAGTTTTGCTCCATTTTCCAGATGGATCCCAGAGTTGCAGATCAGTACTGAATAAAGAAGACTGATCTGACTCAGGAAAATCAGAACCAAATTTTCATCTAAAACTTGAGCTTATTCTGAGATCTGAAAATGTTAAGTTTATTATGTATATTGTTTATAGTTTCATGCACCTCTGTACTTTCCTGCTTTTGAATGGGGCCTAAAGGAGAAATAACAAAGGGATATATTTGGTGGTATTGTATTCCCAGTGGTATTATAAAGTGGCTAACAGCACTTCAATATGTCCTGGACATTTTACAAGACAAAGCCTCTTCTCACAAGATTTTCAGCCTAGTTATTGAACCAAAGAAGCTTGCAGCAGTTTAGCTACACATGGGTGGGGTGGGGGGTGTCAAAGTCTTGAAATCCTTACTCAAGACTTACCTAGGCAAAATTATGCATAGACATCAATTAGCCCAGTGCGGAGCATTTTTACTGGTTCTTTACTGAGACAAACGCTCATGGAGTTTTGCCTATGACTTGCATGTGGATTCGGGATTTTACTTATCTGATGCAAATCAAACCTCCAAACCTTTTGAAGGTTCTCCATTTTTAGTGCTGTGATGCATAGGTTCAGTGCTATTGAAAATGAAGTATCCCCACTTCTAGTCACCTATTTCTGAGAGGGAGTAAGGTGGTAGCGTCTCCCTAACTCATTCTTTTTTACTGAATAGTTCCTTTGACGCAAATTTAGTGCGAGTTGTTGGTGCTCATCACCTCTGAAAAACAAGCTACTAATCTGTAGTAGTCTTTATTGAAGTCAGTGGGAGCTCTGGGTGCTCAGCAAGTGCTCATTTCCTCTTCGGATTTGGCCTCAGGCTAGAGGAAGAAGCTTACATCATCTACATCCTTCTGTGAAAACTGCTATTCCCTCAGTGATCACACCCTGCAGAGGGCTGGAGAAACCCCCATCTCTCTACTGAACAGTCCTCTACATCCTACTGATTTAAATCCTTGTACAGAGAGGACAATGCAGATGAAGATGATATTTATAATTGGAGAGTGGTACTAAAATCAGAACTTGCTGATGCCAGCTGTGCTAATTTCACTCTCTTTGGAAGATGGCATTTCATTTAGGTACTTTCTGACATACAGAGTGCAATAGGTCTGAGCAAAGAGCTACTGCCTCCATCAAGTGGAGCAGGGTCTGGGCCATGGTGAGGAGGAGAGAGCAGGTTTAGTTCCCTGGAGTGTCTTTCCTTTCCCTGTGTATTGGAGCTAGTGTCAGGTACAATCACTGCACTGTGAGTGGAAACACTGAAGAAGTGAATGATTGAGGAGTTTTGTGTAAGGAAAAAGAAAGGAGGAAATAGTCTTCATCATTTGCGTGTGGTTGATCTGCAGCTTGTTAACAGTACACTGCAGACTAAAGACATTTCTTAAAAAAACAAAAAAACTGCTCTCTTATCACCCCTGGTCATTACTCCAGGCAGCACCAGGCCAGTCACACTGGATGCATTTCTTTTTTCTTCCTTATTCTGTGTGACTGACAGGATGGAAAAAGTGGGACTGATGATCCAGAGCTGGAGTTTCCTTATCCACGGACCTTTTCTGCATCATCTGCCTCTTCAGCTGGACATATGAATGATGATGATGATGTAGATGCTGCTGCTACTGTGAGGGGTTCAACTGTTTGATTCCCCTGCCCGACCGCACCCCAGTCTGGAGGGACAGCTGAAGGAGCGCCATGTACAGAATCACATCTATTTCTGCTTTGTTTTCTGACTCAAAACCCTGCCCCCTCGATGACTACGACAACAACAACAAAAAAAGGGCAAATGCATTTTTTTTACATTTCTTGATAATTTTCAAAGCAATGTATCATTGCTTTCTTTAGACTGATGCCAATATAACAGTTGAATGGGTCTCAGCCAGGCTCCTGTGTCTTTTCTGACTGCTAGTTTCAGATTGCTGTGTGAAATGTATGCATGTTTGCACACAGACACAATCCCACAAGGTGATAGACTCACAAGCCAGTCAGGTTGCTAACATGCTTTTTACATACAGTTGGAGGCCTCTTGCTTCTTACATACAGATGAAAAAACTAATCAGCAAACCACAGAATGAATGAAGCAGCCACATTTGGACAGAACTGAATAATATAATATATATCCACAATACAGCCTTGACTGTCCAAGTGTCATGTGGGACACTGAGTAAGAAGTTTGGAAATCAAGGGATTTTAAAGTAATTAACATCTACCAGAGAACCTGCATCTACTTCAGATAGTTGTGCATTTTGATAGGTTCAGATAATCAAGATTGTAGTGCATATAAAGAAAATATAAAGAAAGTCCAGGCAAAAGATCTAAATCACTTCTCACTAATGCCAGTCTAAACCAAGTATAATTCATTTGAAGCTAATGAGGCAATACTGATATCACCCCGGTGTGAAATCAGAATCAGGCCCAGAAAATTTATTTTTTCCTTCCTTTATTTTCTTCCCTGAAGGAGCCCGACTATAAATTTTGCATAAACCAGAGCTGTCTAGATTTTTCATTTTTATTTTAATATCTGATTTTAGTTGGCTTCGTCAGATAAATTAATTCCCATTTTTAATTAAGCAGCCCAGGGATCAAAACGGTTCTTATCAGAAGTTCAGTCCCAAGAGAGACCCTCTGCTGCTGCTTTGTTTCTGAGGGTCTCACAGTAAGAGCCATGTGGCCTCCCTGCTCCAGCGGGCCTGACATGGGGGCCGGTGAGAAGGGCCGCAGAGCAATGAAGTGCGTGGTGCAGCGTTAAAACCAGACAGGTCTCTAACTTAATATAAAGAGGTCTGTGGTATCACACTGGGATGAAAGTCTCTCCTGATATTAAAATCAGCGTCCTGTTCAAAGCCCCTATTCTCCCCACCTTGTAGAGACTTTGCTTAAGACGAGCATAAAGAACAGCCCCTCTTTAGAAGTGAGCAGTACTGTCTAAAGGGCTACCCCAAAAACACATCTTCAATAAGCAAACTGCTGTAGGCATTTATCTACTTCAGCATTATGAATGACTTCACAGGAGGCAAAAATCAATAGCTCACAATCTCATCACATTCTCAAACTGTTTTTTCTTTATTCCATCTCACTCAGACAACCTGCTTTCATTGAAGTCCAACACATCACATCACTGCTTTCACTTGGTCCAGGAGCAAACTGGCTGGGTCATAGGCCAAATGCTATGCTGCACACACAGACATGCTTCCTTCCTACAGCAGATGCTCCCCCAACCTTCAAACAACCTCCTTCCTATGCAGTAACCTTCCCAACCATCTTCCCCTACTTAGTACAGAGCCTACCTGCCACTAGTCTTCTCTTCCATATGATGGATGTCCTGAATTGTTGTCCAGCCAGGCAAAATGTAATCTATTTCCCAGAGAGAATCCGGGGCCAGTTTGCTCCTGGCTCAGTCAGTTAGACTAGTTTTCAGTACTCCTTAAAACCTCTCATGCCATGACCGCTCATGGAATTGACAGATGCAGGGGTGTCCAGTCCAGCTATGACCATTTGAATGGGGGAAGATCTCAAATAACTAAAAGTGAGATTTTGAATATCACATTACAAACTGCTTCATCACTCAAGAGAGATGCTTTTAAAACTGCCTTAACAAATGAATTCAAAATGTTGGAGGGAGACTCCCTCCAAATGAGTGACACACAGCAACAAGGGAAAAGCCATTTTGGGGGTGAAATCTGGCTGGAAGTGGCTGGAATCCAGCTCAGTTCCAGAGGTGAAAACATAGTTTAGGGCCTGATCCTGTAGTACTTACTCAGGATACATTCCCCTTGACTTCATTGATTAAAGACTGCAAGATCAGGACTTTACAAGGCAGAGGTGGGTATTTTCTTGCCTGCATCTGATTAATTTGGGAACTGATCCTGCAAGGTGCTAAGCATATGTATTTCCCATTTGCTTCCACGGAAGATTTGGTTGCTCAGCATCTCTCAGGTTCAGCACTTCATCATTTCCTGCTCAGACCATCAGCTATAAATGTTGACAAATGTAAAGTGTTTTGCCTTCATTTTAATTGCCCAGTGCTGTTAAATGAACTGTCCTAGGTGTATGCCACCCCAGATGTAAGTCTCCTCTCCCACATTTCTCTCCACCCCAGATGTCCCTACCATCTTCACTGAAGCCCTTCCCAGTACTAGTTCTTTACCACATCCCACAATTTTATACCCAGGTTTCATGAAACCACAGAAATGCTTTTGTAAATAATGCTGTACAGTTTGTAACTGTAAGTGTACGCCTGTCATCGGTGCCAGAGTCCGGCTTGCCCTCTCGCACGTTTTAAAAATCAATGACGAAAAGTTAGAGCGAATGGCCCACAAGTGAGCGATAGGGTCATCTCTGTGTGGGACAAATGTATATTCCTGTAAGATTGCATTTTTATCTAAGGAATGATGTTATTTTAAAAAATTGCTAATAAATTTCTAAACAATGCCTAGATTGGTTCAGTATCTGTAAATTTTATCCTAACTTTTTACACATCCATCCCCTTCTCTCAACAGTGTCTAAAAACAAGCCAACTGCCTGCAAACCCTTATTCACTTGAATAGTCACACTGAAGTTAATGGGATTACTCATGTGATTTAAGACTTTGCAAAACTGGGACCCTGGTACTGACAAACTATCATGATAAATATCACCCTAGAAAATTCAGTTACATTCTATAGTAGAATTACCCTAATTACATTGTAGTTACTCCCTAATGTCTGACTATAAAATGTAACCAATGCAGTTAACCTCCTGGCTATAGGATTTTGTGCTACATATATGTCAAACTGTATAATTTCAGCATAATTACAATTAAATTAATACCTTAAGCATGAAACTAACAGGGCATTAATAAGTAATTCAGTCACCTATTTAGCTTACTGATTATATGAATTTGTGGCATAACTATCCTGCAATTTTCTTTTATAATTCCAGTGGAACAACACAACACAGTATAATAAACCATAGGTAATTACAGCCACTGTATTGCAAAGTGATTCAGAAAATTCTTCTTTAAAAAAAAAAAATCAGTGATTCTTCTTAAACTGTTTATAAATAGCCTCTGAGCTTGGTAATGAAATGTTGCAATGGGGAGGGGGGGGGGTGTCTTCCAGTGCAGACCATAATCACTGGAAGCCTTTCATTGCAGCATGAGGCTATGAGGAGGAACAGACACAAGCCAAACTCACCATTGGCATAAACTGATCTAATGAAATTGAAATCTAGGGAGTGGCATTTTCTTATCCAAGGACTAAATTTGGCCTTCAGTTAGAAACATTCACCACAAAACCATGAGAAACTAGCTTGGTCTCAAATTCCATTACAACCTGAACATTCAGCTCAGGTTTGTTGAAAAGTTCACTTATCTGTGACCCACTCCAGGATCAGGTGAGCCAGGTTATGGTTTTGTGTTGAAACCATGTGGAGTGTGTGGTTCCAACGCAAAATCAGATGAAACTCCAAGGTTTAGAATGTATTTGAATTTCAGGTTGAGGATGTGTTCAGACCTGAAACTCAAAGTGAAACCTTTGGTAGTGGAAAGAGGAACTCTATGTACATCAGCTAAAAGGTTTGCACAAGCTCTTGTGAACCAAAAGCACTGAAAGTTACTCCCTACCATACGGAGATATAATACTATGCACTTTCATAACACCTTCCACTTGAGGACCTCAAACCACTTGAATCCAATGTTTATTAATTAAAATTCACACCACCTCAAGAAGGTTGTTATATCCCCAGTTTACTGATGGGGAAAATGGGCCCAGAGATTGTGACTTCCCCAGGATACACCTGAAGTCAGTGACAAATCCAAGAACAGAAACCAGCTCTATGACTTTTCAGCCCCATGATTTAGCCACAAGACTATCCTTCTTTTAGCAATAATGGGCATGTAATATATAACTAATTCACAGTTCACAGCAAATGCTGAGGTAAGAAGTGAAAACTAGAGTCCACCTCTGGCTAGCCTGTCACAGGATGGCCAATTTGAAGTCTGCATAATGCTGTGTGTTAATGGAGCTTTCCCCTAAGCACTCCAGCCTTTGACAACATGGCAGTGCTCTGGCTTGCTCTTTCTGTCTGTGTTTCAATGGCAATTTACGAAGGAAACAACAAAGCCAAGAGTTCTGAGAGGCACTGACTACAGGACACTTGTTGGTCTTTTGTTTTTTTTAAAATCTGCTCAACAAACAATGGGTTTTCAAACATGCATGAAGGGAAGACATAAAAATGGGAAAATAATAAACATTGTAAATGAAACACAACAAGCCTAAGGAGTTATAATGGGATCTAAAGCCTTTCATCTCTAAATTCAGGTTGGCTTGGATCAGCAGTGATAGGAAGTGGTTACTATCTGATGACTCTATGAATTGTGGTCTCAGCAAAGTTGCATCTACAACACAGCCAGAAACTGGCACTTTTACTTGCAACTGCCATAGAAAGGCCGAGGACTAAATGAATAGAGATTAATTTGTTCTCACCCCTAAGGTGGGCCCTTCCATAATGTAGTAGGAAGAGAGCCTGAAACATAAGCCCTTGTATCAGAGGCCTGGTATGAGGCAGGACCTGCTCACAGAATCTGGCAAGAACAGGGCTGATATTGCAGAAATACACATGCCTAAGAAGTGCTAAGCACAGAGCACTCACATCCCAATATCAAGGATGATACAAAAACATTCCCCAAGGATAACAGAAACACACTTACCCCTCCTAAAGGATAAGGTCAGAATGACAGTACGTAACTTGTTTATATAGGGGTATAATGATGTATCTCAGAGGGAGTATCTTTGACCAGCCTAGCGGGCAGTGGAAAGTCCCGCCACTGACTGAGCTGCGTCCATTTTCAAAGGCATACATGTCTTAGTATCCTCATAGAGTCTGCCAGGTGCTATCACTGTGCTTCGTCAACAACAAACCTCGCTGGGTGCCTTCATATCTTAACGGATCTTGTGGTCATTGGGCAGTTTGCTCGAGGTCTGCTGTGCCAACTGTCTGCAAAGCTGGGACAGCACACAAAGAGAACACACACACGCAACCACATGTGAGAGTTAATGTACATTAATTCAGTGTAGCAAAGTTTTCTTTGATGCTTTGTAGCTAGAGAACGTCAGTCTCCAGCACTGTCAGGACAGCACTTACCACAAGCAATAAATTCACTTTAATAAATAAACTGAATAATACAAAAGTTTCATTTTGACTATATGTGGGCAATACAGACCAAACAATAGTTGGCTGGTGAGAATTTCAGCTTGTGTATACTTTGCTTGGGTAGGTTCAAGATGTAAAAGGCTTTATTCTCCATTGCCTTTCATTTTGTGTGGACACTTATACCTGCACAAAGTTTAAAATGCTACACAATCCAAATGGTAGCATCTTACACCCAACTTTGCACAAGTATAATTGACTACCTGGGGTGCAATGGAGAATCAGGCCCTAAATTCAGCTCTGGATTGAGTTTAAGGAGTTCAAATCTGGGGTTTTCATTTGGCTCATAAATAGGAGGGCTATTTGGAGAATTTGGCTCCGATGTCAGAATTGGGTTTTAGTCATCCCCGAAGTTCAGCAGTGTTCGATCCAGCATTTTGGTTGAAGGCTATCTTTATGCTTACTGTGACAGCAATGGTTGCCACTCATTAGCCAAGTTTCCTTTCCTCACATCAATACACCATGAACCCACAAAGGAAATTGTTTACTTTGTATTTTTCTCTGTACAACTGAACATAACCTACCTTTAGGATCTTACAGGACTCAGTGTCAGGGCCTCCAGAATTTTGCCCTTCCCCAGAGACCAATAATGAACTGTTTGAACAAGACCAGGTCACTAGCTCATTGTTTACCTGTTAGAGGTGTATGGTCAGTGAATACTCAGGAGGCTCAGACACCAGAAAACTTTGATTGGAGTCCACATTGCTGCTGAAACACAAGGTAATTTTCCAAACATGCTGGCTCCAACACTTTCTTACTCAAACATGTTTTTGGGGGGCGAGAGGGGGTCAGGAAGAGTGCCCGTTCCAGGAGCAGAAAGCAGGGAGGAGCCTGTCTCAGTGGAGGCAGTGACAGGTTTTAAAATGACACCTTCCCAGAAACAAATTCCGAGTCTGGAACAGATCTCAGACTCTGGGACCCCGGCAAGACCGATTCGGGCTGCTCCTGTGTGGGCGCATCGAGGGTAGAGACGAGCACTCGGCGACTCCCGCCCTCCTACGGATCCCCCCTGCAGCGACCGCCGCACCCCCGCGATGCGTGGTCCCCGCGCACATGGCGTGAGGGAGTCACCGCCCCCGCCCGGGATGTGGTGGGGAAGGGGCCGGCTCCGACGTCCCTGACGGCACAAGGCCGGTGCTGGATGGCACGTGGTGCGCTCTTCAAACCGCAGCGGTCACCCCTGCGCGCGTGCCGCAAAGGCCTCGCCTTCCCCATCGCCTCCAGCCACTGCGCTTCCCCGCCCACCGCAGCTCTCTGGAGCTGTCGCCGCGGTGCCTCCCTTCAGCTCTGCGTCCCCCGCCTAGACTCACACCGACAGAGAGGCACGCAAATGCACCGCCCCCCCCCCCCCACACACAGACAGGCACAGCACAGCACCGCCCCCCCGCACACACACAGACAGGCACAGCACAGCCCCTCACACACACACACAAGAGACAGGCACGGCACAGCCCCCCCCCACACACACAGAGACAGGCACAGCACAGCCCCTCACACACACACACACACACACAGAGACAGGCACGGCACAGCCCCCCCCACACACACACACACAGGCACAGCACAGCCCCACACACACACACAGAGACAGGCACGGCACAGCCCCCCCACACACACACACAGAGACAGGCACGGCACAGCCACACACACACACACACAGAGACAGGCACGGCACAGCCACACACACACACACACAGAGACAGGCACGGCACAGCCACACACACACACACACAGAGACAGGCACGGCACAGCCCCACACACACAGACACAGAGACAGGCACGGCACAGCCCCCCCACACCAGACACACACACACAGAGACAGGCGCGGCACAGCCCCCCCCAGACACAGACACACACACAGAGACAGAGACAGAGACAGAGACAGGCACAGCACAGCCCCCGCACACACACACACACACACACACACACACACACAGAGACAGGCACGGCACACACAGACAGACAGATAGACAGACACAGAGAGACAAGGCACGGCACGGCCCTACAGACACTTCTAGTCGCTGTGCCCCGCCCGGCCCCCAGCGCAGCCCAGGCATCCAGAGGGGCCGGTCACAGCCCGAGCTCTACAAGCCCCGCCCCCTGCTTTCCTCTAAGCCACCTCCCCTTTCTTATGCACAGCTCCCGCTGGGCGCCTCACTCGTCAATTCGGGCCCCGCCCCTCGCCAAGAGGCCCCGCCCCCTCTGGGGTGCCCCGCCCCTACTAGGTGCTGCCCCCCTCTCGCCCCGAGGCCCCGCCCCCTGCTCCTCCTCAGGTAAGTGCCGGCCCCGCCCCCTCCGGAAGCCGGAGCCGGTCCGTGGTGCTGGGCGGCCGCTGCGCTGCGCTGGGGCCATGGGGCGGGTGGCCGCGGCGCTCCCCCGTCTCCTCCTCCTGCTGCTGCTGCTGGGGTCCCGGGCCCTGGGGCTGCGGCTACTCCTCAGCGCCGCGCCGCCCTTCAACTGCTCGCAGCCGGTAAGAGCCGCCCGGGCCGGCGGGGGGACAGCGACCGCGGAGGGCGGGGCGGGTCAGTCCGGGCCGCGGTGGGGAGCCCCGCACCCTCCGCCTGCCCTGGGCGGCGCGGCCCGGCGGGCGGGGACACGGGCTGGGGGCTCGGCCGCTGAGGTGAAAGGGCCCCTCGTGAGGGGCGAGGCCCGGGCTGTGTCACTGTCGCCGGCACCCCGTTTTTGTTTGTTTTGGGGGGTTTTTAATGCCTGCAGGCCCTGGTTTTCAGAGGGGTTGATCACCCCCCAGTTGCCCCTTTGGGGCGCTGCTAGCTTTCACTGTAGTGCCTCTGAAAATCAGGCATAAAGTGCCCCCAGGTTTAGGCACCCAAAACCACTGACCGCTCTTTAAAATTTCGGTCTGAAATTCTGCCTCAGTTATCCCATCTGTGAAAGTTGAATAATACTTGAAATTTTTGTCAAGACCTGTGACTCTGTTGATGAAAAGTCCTATTGTATTAGAATTGGATCTGTGTACAAAGTGGGGTTTGGGGCTTTTTTTAACCATCTTCCAAGGGCCCGCTACAGGTGTTTTTAAATGATTTTCAAACATGTCTGCATTGTAGGCTACCTCTTAAAAGAGGGCCTCTCAGAAACTCTTCCAATCCCAGACTCTTTCCAGATATCTCACCTCCCATTCCCTGCAGCAACTGCGTAATGTTTCTTTACATGAAGAAGTAACATAATGACATTATTGAAGATACAGGATCAAAATAAGCTTGCTTTAATTCTGTAAGTGAGGATGCCTGGTTTCCTTCTGTCTGCTGTTTAATTTTAAAATGTCTCTAGCCTTTACAGTTGTAAGGAGCGTTGTAAATATAAATGTCAGGCAACTGCTGCTCATAACTTTCCCAAGCAGCAGCAGAATGAAACTTGGGAAATTTTTGGTTATTTTCACTGATCCTGTACAGAATTCTGTGGGTGGTAGTGAAAATTAACTGCATGGGAAAGCTATGAGAAGCCCTAGCTGTATATTAGTACCAAAACTTTCCCTGCAAACCACTTTAATTTCTCCATGTCATTTTGTGATCTTGAATCAGCATTCTTGTGTGCTGGAAAACACGAGCTCTTCTTTGAAATTGTCCCCTTTCTGAGAAAAGAATGCTCCCAGATACCTCTAGTAAACAGCAGCTATGGAGGGTCACTAGTGCTTGTTAATCAGCTAAAAAGAAGGATTCACATTAGTCATTGTGAGAAGAAGAATAACTCACTCATATGGATCAACCCTAGGGTGACCAGATAGCAAGTGCGAAAAATCGGAACACTTTTTTTTTTTTTGAGGTATACTACATATATAAGACAAAGCCCCTAATATCAGGATGGTCCCAATAATATCAGGACATCTGGTCACGCTAATCCAGACTCCTTGCCCATCTTGCAAATCCTCTTGAAGAACCACTCTTAGTATGGCAAGCAACTAGGGTTTCTTGTATTTAGCTAGTTAGCCTCTGGAAGCTCTAAGGGAAGCCTGGTTTGGGACTAAATTAGTGGGAGGTGACTCTGTTCAAATTTGGAATTCTTCATTGAGACAGAAGCAGCTGCACAGATCAGTTTTGAGCACCACTCTTTTCATGGAAATTGCATAGGGATACTTTGAAACATATTTTCCATTGAATGTATCCGATGAAGTGAGCTGTAGCTCACGAAAGCTTATGCTCAAATAAATTTGTTAGTCTCTAAGGTGCCACAAGTACTCCTTTTCATATTCCCTATTGTAAATGGTCTTCAGTGTATTTTTCTGTTTTCTATATATAACAGCCATACCACGATCCAGATTATGTATTTCCATGGTGGTTAAAGTCCCATTGCCAAGATATAATGGGATCGCCTGGAAATGCACTACTTGTCACACAATATTGCTTGTATTTGGGTGTTTCTGTAGCTTTGGAAGCTGACTGTGATTGATGTGATCTACACTTGACAAAACAACTTATCTTAATGTTAAGCTAAAATATAAATATTGCAGAACTTGCCTGGTCAGGTGACCAGTGTTTGGAATTAAGCGTGTCACTGGCATGTTTGAAACGAGTGAGGGGCCCTGGCTGGCGCTAAGATTTGCCAAGCTGCGTGGAGTTCCTGGCAGGATGTGGGGATGTGCTGGACAAGTTACTCCGGTTGGGTAACTTGTCTGAATGCATCCGATGAAGTGAGCTGTAGCTCACGAAAGCTTATGCTCAAATAAATTGGTTAGTCTCTAAGGTGCCACAAGTACTCCTTTTCTTTTTGTGAATACAGATTAACGCGGCTGCTACTCTGAAACTTTTACTCTGTTACTTCTGCAGAGCAGAGCAAGGCTGGAAATCTGAGGTGAAAATTAGGTGGCTCTTCTGCTGGAATAGTTGTAAGAATTTCAAATGCATACATTCTTGGATTTTTGCAAACATGGGTCTAGGGTCCCCTTTCTCTCTGGGTCACTACCAGGGCTTGGGCAGTCAGGCCTGGTGGTCAGGGTCGATGCCAGAGTCCAGGGGTCAGAATGAGGGTCAGAGACTAAGGGCAGTAGCCTGAATTCGGGACTGCGGTCAGGGTCCACGTATTGATCCCACGGGGCAGGAACGGAGCCAGAGTTCAATTTCCAAAGCCGGGGTCAAAGCTGAAATCAGAGCTCCAGTACCAAAACCAGGGGTCAAAAGCCACAGTCAGAGTCCCAGACTGAAGCTAGGATGCAGAGACAGAGTCCAAGTACAGAAGCCGGGGTTGAGATGAGAATCAGCATTAAAAAAAAATTAAAATTTGAAAAAGTACAGAGAAGGGCAACAAAAATGATTAGGGGTATGGAACAGCTGCCATACGAGGAGGGATGTTGTGAAGGCCAAAAGTGTAACTGGGTTAAAAAAAGAATAGATAAATTCATGGATGATAGGTCCATCAGTGGCTATTAGCCAGGATGGTTGGACACAACCACATGCTGTGGGTGTCCCTAAGCCTATTAACTGCCAGAAGCTGGACGTGGATGATAGAGAATGGATCACTCAATAATTGCTCTGTTCTGTTCATTTCCTCTGAAGCATTTGGTACTGGCTACTGTTGGAAGATAGACTACTGAGCTAGATGGACCTTTGGTCTGACCCAGTATAGCCATTCTTATGTTCTTAAGGTAGGAATGTGAATCAATACAATTTGGAAACCATTAGTCTAGGGTTAACTAAAAGAACCTTTACAGTGGAAGATATTTTCTGAAACCTTTGAAAACACGTACTCCCCCAGTGCACACCTTTCCCCAGTAGACTCAGTAGTGCAGTTCCCTACTCAAGATGAAGTGGCCAGGAGATTATTCTCTTTCTTTATGCAGATTGATTTAACCCTTAGAATACTGAAGTGCTGAGCACGCAAATGTGTCAATTCCCAGTCCCTTCTGTCCTTCTTTTCAAGAGACCCAGCCTTCGTCTCTATTACTCTTCTGTTCTTCTCAACCTGGCTCCTCCCTCTTCCCTCTCCTTGTCCCAGCTGCAAACTGCTGTCTCCCTCCCTAATTCCTGTGAACATTCAATAACAGCTGAATCACTTTCCCTGTATGGGCTCAATAGGTTCTATAACTTTTAACTGCTCTTATTAAAAATATCCCAAGCGAACAGTCAACTTCTAAAGGCTTAATATACGCTATGCAATGAAATCTGTCCAAGAAAAAGGACATTGCCTGATTGGTTGTCTGATGTAACCACACAGATCAGAACTCCGTTAGCCTATTTGTACAGTTTGTTGAGAATAACACTGCAAAATAATTTATACTAATCCCTGGACACCTTTCAATTAGTTGCTTGGATTCTGGTTGTCTTTTATGCATACCAAGCCACATAGCAATTTAGTGTAAATGAGCAGTAATATGATGAGATGTGCATTGGCTAAATGCAGTCAAATGTCTCTACATACACTGGATGTGCATTTATGGAGTAGGTGCATATGTTGTTACTTTACTAGATTTTGAATTTTCTTCTAACTTTAATGTTCCATAAATTTATATAAGTTTTATAATCTGTCCAAGAAAATCTAATAATATTTTAAAACACGTAAGAGGAGTAATAGTAGTAAATAACAAAAGTGCTCTTTTAGGTATACCTGTAAAATTGTAGATATAAATACACAAAAGTTGTCTATTTTAAACTTTTGCATTTGAAAAGCCTCCAAATCTCCCTTTTCCCTGGGCAGCATTAGTCTGAGCCTGACTTCAGAGAGCATACCATCAACACCCTTCCCAGTCAGCAGCAGCCGCTGTAGTGGGTTTTTAAAAAGGAAACTGTTGCTAAGCAAGGTTGGTGATACGCACTTCCCTTTTGTAATCCTAATCAAAATTCTGCTAATGATGATAATTTGAGCAGGTTGGGACAAGCAGCAGTAATTTATGTTCTTGAAAGCCCTGATCTGGTTGCTCCGATTCAGGAGAAGGGGCAGAGAATGAAGTGCCATATCAACAGATACCTGTGATGATCACAAAAGTAATGCTGAACTGTTTCCATGAGATGGAGAGGGAAATGAGGAGTAATTTCTTAAAAATACATTTAGATTTCAATTTTGTGGGACTGATTCATCACTGGTACTCCCGTTTTGCAGTGGCAAACCAAGAACCTTTTAGTAAGAGATGTCTGAATGTGGTATAATCTGGTTGGAGGCAAGGTTCTATCCTCCAAATGTGCTCATTTAAACATAATCACATAGGATAAAAGCCTCTTCAACCAATTGGATTGCAGCTCTTGACCAACACCTTTGTCATTGCTTCTGTAACTGTTTTATAAAAAGGCCTGTTTTTTGAAGCCCGGTGGGATACAATGTTTCATAGCCCCTGCCAATTTTAATAAATTGTTGGAAAGACATACAGAATGTGCTGAGAACCTGGATCTCTGTTTGAGTTCAGATCAGCAGTTTTAACTTGGAAAAAGGACAAGGACCCACGAAAGACCTCACAGAAGGAACACTCATAGAAACTTTTACACTTCATGAAAGTGATGCTGATGGATAGGAGACGGAGTCTCTGCAGAGAGGAACTAGAGAAAATGTATTTTTATCTGGGCCACAGTATGTGTTCCCTTTTTTCCCTTTTCTGCTAACTTTTTTTTTGGCTGTAGATTATTGCTGCTAGCCAGAACAAACAGTATCCACAACTACAGCTAGTCAAAATATTCTCAACATGCTTTTCATCAAAAAATGTCTTTTTAACCATAATGGATCAAAATTTTACATTTTTTTTTTAACAAACAAACTAAAAACTGGAATTTTTCAGTTACGTTTTTAAGTTTTGGGCTTTCAAAAAATAGAACATTTTTACTGAACAGCTTTAGAAAGCAGAAAAATTAAATTTTGTTTTTGTCAATTAAAATTCAAAATTTCCTGCGGAAAATTGACTTTTGTTTTTACCAGTTCTAAACACACATTTGTTTAGGAATTGTTATTTGTATAGTGTACACAGCGCCTAACTAATCTGTTCTTGCAAGATAAGGGATCAGAAAAAGGAAGTGGCAGTAGATCATAAGTAGGTCGGGCTGCAGCAGCCAGGCACTTGAGAGGCAGCTCACCAAAAACATTATACGTACTCATGCTCAGATGAGAGGTAAACTCTGCAAGCTTGGAACTCTTCCTATCTGGCTGCAGCCATCTTTTAAGGGACAGCAGGGAGCCCTTCCCAGCCTAATGCAGGTGCCTTTGGGTTCCCACAGAATCCTGCTGGGAAATGTTGACCTCCTATTAATTGTATGACTGAACTATTATGACTCAGTGCTGATGGACCAGTATCCAATTTTCCAGATTTGTGACGTTTCCCATTCCCATGTTTCCCAGCACTGATTTTTTTTTTAAAGCATCAACAACAAGAATAAAAAATACAGAAAGGAAATATGGTTAATAAATAATCAGATATAAACATTAATTTATAAAGCCACTAACCCACATCTTCATTCTGCCACTGAAGCTAGCCTCAAATAGAGCTTGGCAAAATTTCTGGATAAATAGTTTTTGTCCAGTAGTTAGGCACTCACCTGGGATGTGGGAGACCTCGATTCGATCCCCCCCCCTGCATAATGTAGAGTAGGGATTTGAACTTGGGTCTCTTCCATTATAGGAGCGTGTCCTGGCCACTGGGCTTTGGGATAATCTGGTGTGGGCTTTCTCAATCTCTCCTCTTGAAGACATTCCACAGGGACTTAAACTTGCGTCTCCCACTTCCCAGGTGAGTGCCCTAACTACCATGTTGTAGTTATTCTTATTATCATTTTGGCCCAATGGCTATCCATTGTCATCATGAATAACTGAATTGTCACTATAAACAACAATGGATGGTCATTGGACCAGAGAAGGAGAGTGGGAATGACACTAGCCTACTGGTTGGGGAACTGACCTAGCATTTGGGAGACCCAAGTGCAAGTCCCTGCTCAAATGACTATTTAATTACTTATTAAAAAAAAAGTGAAAGTCAACATGGAACAGTTTTTAACTTTTCAAAATTGCCAGTGAACCTAAAAATCCATTATTTGCTTGGATGTAGCTTCAGGCACCTCCATGTTGTCTTCCACGTTGCCTTTTTTATGCATGGGAAAAATTTCCCATCAAAATTGATAAGGTTTCTGCCTTATCTTTTAAATCCCTTCTTAAACTTATCTCTGTAATGATGCCTACAAACATTACTGTGTGGCATTAAAGTGGTGAGCTGTCTTCTGCTTTTATGCTAAACTGTTCCCTTTATTATTTCCTCATCTTAACCCCTACCTTCCATCAGTCTGTTACTATGGAAACTCTTGCATATTTTTAGCTTTATGGAAATAAGTGGTACTCTGTCTTGTTAAGATTCATAGATACTAAGGTCAGAAGGGACCATTATGATCATCTACTCCAACCTCCTTCACAACGCAGACCACAGAATCTCATCCACCCACTCCTGCGAAAAACCTCTCACCTATAGATGAATGGTTCTCCCAGAGAACATCCCACCAGCCACCTGTCTCTCTTACACAAGTAGGGATCCAGCTTAGGCAGATCCGGCTCTACGTTTTTTGCTGCCCCAAGCAGCAAAAAAAACAAAAAACCTGACGAATACGCCGCTGGCAGAGAGAACAGGTACATCAGGGGGAGCTGCCACCAACAGTGAGACCCGAGCCGGAAGAGTCGCCACCGAATTGCCACCGCGGGAAACAACGGAGAGGAGCTAACGCCGAATTGCCGCCGGGGCTGCTGCCCCCAGAACAGCAGGAGTGCCGCCTCTTTAGCAGCACCGCCCCGCGCACCAGATTGCTTAGCTGGTGCCTAGAGCCGGCCCTCAGCTTAGGTACTCCTGCTGACCACAACTGTGACAATGTGGCTTGTGAAGGGAGGTGGTATTTCAGCTAAGTAGTTGCCAGGTGATTTAGGACTCTCTAAGTCAAAACCAACACCGTGTGTTCTACCTAGTACCTAGCAAGTAGCCGGTGTGGATCTGGTGTGCTAGTATCATGTGCTCCTGGCAGGACAAATGAGCTGCAGCTTCTGATTCTGGATAGAGCCTTAGATGGTTTGAAACATACTCAATACTATGGTTTGTGAAATAGTAGAAGTTGGCGGGGGGAGGGAGAACATACAGTGTGGTAAAAACTATTTGCACAAATTAGAGGTGACATAATTCAAGAGTGATGACTTATCACTGCTTATCATATATGTGGTTGTGTGACTTATTCAGTATGCCCACATTGTTTATGTCATTAGGTTTTTAGCTGACTTTTTGTATGCAAACTGTAAGTAGGCCATTTAGAGGAGAAGTTCTGTAACTAAACAGCAGTACTTGTGTATGCTTATTTGATTATAGTCCCCTTTTGTTATGCAAGAAATTCTAGGAGGTCAAATTCTGATGTAGCCTGTCAGGTTTGCTTTAGTTATTGCCTCCTCCGCTTCAGCTGGTTGTAGTCTTCTGATTGAATTGTAATTCCTGCTCTGACTGAAGGTTAAAATATTTCAGGATAGCTGCATTGGAAATGAGGATCCAGAAAGTAGATCAGAACAAAAGTTAGGAGTCATGCTTGATGACCGAAGTAGTTTGTCTTCCATGAACACCCTCTTGGTTAAGTAAAATTGTCAAACTCCAGAGTGTAATAGTAGCTACTGGAGTCAGTGGATACTGACCACTCTAATGCGAGAAGGGCATTAAGCTTTGCAAACCTGTTCCGTGTCTAGTGTCTGGCACTGACGAATAAAGCCAAATCTCTTACCAGCACTCCTGTGTATTGCACCCTACTACACAGAGCCCTTACATGTGCATTTTTCTTCAGTTCCAGATAACAGTCTTCCTTTAAGAGCACCAGCATTGATCTAAATAGATCCCAACAGTTGGAATTAGTCTAATTGATAACTTTTGTATAATTTGAAGAATGCCAGAATGCTGCATTACCCAAATTAGTCAATTTTTCAACCTTTCAGGCTGTTCTTCACCGCATATCATGATCTTACACACAATACTGTGACCCCCAATAAGCTAATAGCTTTATCCATACTTTGCAAACAGCTTGGAAGAGTGCCGAAAATGTAGATTGTTAAAAGTAAAATGAAAATTTCACATGGTATCAGCATGACTTGGAGCACGTCATACAGCAGAATTCTTCTCTAGTTCAGGGGTCTCAAAGTCCAGGCCCGCGGGCCATCTGCGGCCCAAGAACCTCCCCACTGTGGCCCACGGAGGAGAGCCGCATGCAGCCATGCTGCTGGCAACGTCTGTGGCGGGCGCCGCCCCCTGCAGCTCCCATTGGCTGGGGTATAGGGACAGAGATACCATCACTAGTTGCCAGGCAGAGTCAGCCATGGAGGCAGCATCACTTTTTTCCACAAAGAATATAAACAAGTCAAAATACTGAACACAACTATCTGATGCCCACCTTGCTGCAATCCTGAAGGTTTCAACTGCTCAGTCACTGAGGCCAAACATCAACAAACTGACAGAACTGAAGCATTGCCAGGTGTCTGGCAGGCGAAGAATTGTATAAAGTTGTATGACAGTTTTATTATTTCTAAGAAATTCAAAATAAAAAATACAATATAAACGTTTCCTTTTCTGAACACCATCTTCAGTGACATTATTGGCCCGCTGGGAGGATTTGGGGACTGGCACTGGCCCTAAGGTAAATTGAGTTTGAGACCCCTGCTCTAGTTGATAGGCAATTGTAACGTACTTATGTATGCCAATCTGCAGAATGTGTAAACCATCTGATAATATTAATGGAATCCTCTTAACAGATTGGAAAACCAGCGATAGTTCTGTGAACCTAGGTTAGCAACTGGCCCAATGAATATAATTTCAGTTCTCCTTCACCTCAAGGTGGTAACCTCCCGTCCAAACCCTGCTTATTTTACACATGATGGGGAGCCTTAAACACTGTCCCTCTATTTTCTAGATTTTTAAATGCAGTATTAGAGGGGTGGTAGTTGTTGCAGTGTTTACAATGTATTTGTATTGCAGTACATCTGTGAGGCCCATAGCGGAGGCTTGTTGTTTTAGCATCATGTTCACACAACAAAAAGATGGTCCTTTCCCCTGAAGATTTTATATTCTGAGAGCTTAGATAGAAGTTACAATGCAAAATGTCATTAGATTTAAAATCTGCTGTTGCACTTGGAATTGAAATTAGTTGCTCTGTCTACTTTGGAGAATTGAGGCAGTACCCTCTTTGATATATATCCTGGGATGGGAGGGTGAAGGAGATACTATAGTTATTCAAATATGTATGTTAATGTAGTACTCTGTTCAAGGTTTTCCAAAAACCAGTAATGAGCAACATCATATAAAAAGTCATCTTGGTTCTGTGATGTGTAGCTATTTGTTTAAATGACCAAGCAATGGGATCAGAGCATTCCTGTTTGCTAAAATTTTAACCCTTTCTTTGCTGAGAATTATGCTTTTTCCTCTACGGTGTTGGGAGGGGGTTGTATGTAGCTAGGAGCAGGAGTGAACCTGTAGTAGCTAGTGATTATGTGAGAGACATGATGTTGTGTCACTTTTTTTGTCATACAGATCTGTAGTCTATGGCAATTATTGGGGTCTAGCAAGGAGTAGTTAGATGTTTAGCTATCTAAGTTGGTCAAGTCTAGTCTAGAGAGCAGTAAAGGAGAAGAGAATCATTGGTATTTTCCTGGAGGCCTGATACAGATATGCTATAGTTTCCTTGGCAGTATAGTTGTGGAACCAGCTTTCCAGAAATCTTCTCCCCAATTCTTATTTCCCTGCCTGGGTTTATGATTCAGTTTTGTACTGTGTTTTCCTCTCTTGTCTTATAGTCGGGAAGTAATTCTCGGACTCTGTGGCACATAAACTTTTCTTTAAGGAGGCAAATACCTTACACGACCTTAGGATGCTTAGGTACTGAAGGCATCTCAGCCTGACTAGTAAATAACCTGAATTTTTGCCCGACTAGACACAACGTCTAATTTTTAAATGAGCCCAGATATGTGTGAACAAAGGCTTTTTGCCCAATAGTTGGAGAGGCCAGTATGGGGTAGGAAGAAGTTGGGAAACAAGTCAGTTGAGAGTCTGGAGGAGGGTGGAATGGGGACCTTGATTAAGTAGGAGGCCTATCTACTGCTGCTTCTGCTTGTAGGATTTCAGTCTGGTTCATGATCTAGTCAGTATACCCTGGCATTATAAGTAGACTGTCTATTATTGCATGGATTACCCACTTTATCTGGGGACTACAGAGGCTTGTGAGTATCTATAGATGATCATTTAATCTACAGATGTGGTTGCTATTAAAAAAAAAAAAAAAACATTCCAGATGTAATGAAGGGGTCCAGCAAGACAGAAAGCCCAACAGAAATCTTACTGAGTGCTCAGGACCGGAGTTAATCTCAAATATCTTAATTTCAGTGGGAACACTGAACACATGTCAGTGGAGAATCTCTCCAAATGGCTTTGCCTAGAACAGTGGCTCTCAGCCTTTCCAGATTACTGTACCCCTTTCAGGAGTCTGATTTGTCTTACATATCCCAAGTTTCACCTCACTTAAAAACTACTTGTTTACAAAATCAGACAAACATACAAAAGTGTCACAGCATGCTGTTACTGGAAAAATTGCTTACTTTATCATTTTTACCATATAATTATAAAATAAATCAACTGAAATATAAATATTATACTTACATTTCAGTGTATAGTATATAGAGCCGTTCTAACCAAGTCATTGTCTGTATGAAATTTTAGTTTGTACTGACTTTGCTAGT